CTGAAGAATCAGCTGCTGTATAGTGCCTTATCATCGAACTCTCCTGGAATACCAAACAGTAAGCGCATTCAGTAGGCGAAAAAAAGGCATCTGAATCATCGACGATTGGGCATATTGTTTTCTTTTTCAAACTTAGCATTGTATACATTTTTTGAGAAAGTGTGATTTCTAAAAAAATGTAAACTCAAATTGAAGGCAGAGTCAGGAACGATGCTGTAGATACGTTTTGAAATTTATTTTTGATGAATTGAAATACTATAGTTTGACTCTATGAATACAGTTGACCCTCCGTGATAGTTGAAGTTTTTCCAGTCCCTGTCTGTATTCCCCTAGAAACAACGGATTAAAAACCTTCCTATTTCAAAGGCCTTCTCCCTCAAACCTCCGTTAGTCGAATTTTCTGGATGCCCTTTGGCTACTATTTTTATTGACACAGGAAAGAGAAGAGCAATAAAAATGTCATTTGATGAGTTTTAAAATGAAGCGGGAGACTATTCGGGAAAATGAACCGTTGTCTCCAACATCAGCATCCTGTCAAATCGTCCAAGAAGCAATTCAAAGCCCAAAGTATCCACAATTACAATTTCCTGATATTCTTTCGTTTTAACAAATTATGCTCGAGGAGGTTCGACTGTATATTTAGCTATTCTCTCCCCGCATAATTCCAACGAGCTGCTGTCTAAATTCCTATGTATGCTAGCTTCCCGCGCAAAAGAATAATTTTTACACAAATGGGGAGGAAAGAAAAAGAAAATATTTTTTTAATCTTCCTGGGGTCGTACGTACTTGTATAAAGGTGTCTCGGGGAGCAAGTTCGCAGTAGGTGTTCGCTTTTGAGCTGCCATCAGTAGGAGGCATCGAGGCCGATGCTGACGATCCAAGTTTGAGGCCTCGCTTCTGTTATTATTTTTTACATAATTACTTTGTAAATCTTTCTTCTTTCTGGCGTCACTCACTCGTAGCACGCGAGCATTTGCATGTGTGCGTGATGTCGGGCTGCTTTCGGTGTTGCGCAATCCTCCCCCCTCACCGGAACCCCCTTCAGCGTCGGGTTGGGAAAAGATGTGCACAATTCCGAACGGGAAGTGCAAACGGTCGCCTTATTTTATTTTTCAATTTTGTAATTTTTTTTTATTTCTCACTTCTTGAGCACGGCATCAGCCTTGCGTGACGAAACGTCGCCGCTGGTTTGGAACATCGCAGCTCACGGCATGGGCTGGGATTATCCGATGGTCAGTTTGGCATCGAACGTGTTTCTGCTGGATTAGACGAGATGGGGAAGAAATTCTTTGGACTCTTTTATTTTTTTTTATCTTGTTAAACTGCATCAACGTGTTCGAATTAGAGGGAAAGTCTCGCGCATCTCTATTTTCTTGATCCAAATAAATACTCTATCATATTTTTGACTGCGAATGCCGGACGCACTTGAATTGCCTGCTTATTTTTCTCAGAATGAGGGAATCTGAGACTGGTTCTACTTAGGCTTCAGGTACCAGCTCCCTCTTGTCAAACACGTTCTACAGATCAAGACCTGAGTACTAAAACTAATTTTAAGTACTTTTCGTAAATTAATACAGGTGTAGTGGATGACGCCTTCAGCAGTGAGGATGCTGCGGGAAAAATGTATTTCACATCTGTCCCTGATGGAATTTTTAAGCATTCGTGAGGACCTTGGAAAAATATCCTCCAGTATGACGACCGAATCAACAGAGATCAATTCAATTTTTTATGAAGTAAAAATCCATAAATAAATTATTTTTTTGCAAAAGCGTCGGGGGAACTGATATTCTGTAACGTTTTCTGCACGAAGTTGGACCGAATCCCCGCCGATTATGATTAATTACCGGCACGCAGATGGAAGCAATTTTTCTTACCGGATGATCCCCTCTGAGCCCGGGGATTGTTTTCACAGCGGGTTTCGTGATATCTGCTCTTTTGATCATTGCACGACTTCATTTTTGGTTACTGAAACATCTTTTTTTTTTCGTGTGTTCATGTAAGAGTAGGAGGTGTGAAATATCGACGTCATTATCCCTCGTCGTGGCATGGCCTCGACGCTGGCGAAGAAACGTGACTACGGAATGAGAACTTCAGCTTTAAAGAGCACGCAGTCTATTTCTTTTGCGAAGATCAAGTGTAGGTTATTGTGTATCTGTCAAGCTTCTGCAGGAGAGGAATGTGAAGGGCTCGAGTTTCAGCATCGATTTTGGTTGAAAGGAACAATGCGTAGTAGTTTTACCTGTATTCCTACTCGATAATTCTGTACGAGTTCACCATTACGTAAGATAAGTAGTTCTTTAAAAAAATGTGACGCGGGTAAAACGCATTGAGAGGCAGGTAATGAGCTTTAAAATTATTTAAGGACTGTTTTATGGTACAGTAATTACCTACTGAAGTTGGATTCACGACCATGTCAGCCAAGAAAGTATGCAAGGATAATAAAGCTCACAGCGAACTTTTTTTTTTTTCCATCAAACCAGAAATCTGAGCATTGACTTTTGAATAGCTTTCCGGCTACCGCATTATTTCAAGCTATTCAGAGAACCATACGTGGAAAACGATAGGCTAATAAATGTCGAAGAAGAAGCGTGGCGTCAACTTCTCGTATGATATATATTTTTTTTTTTTGAATGAGACAAAATGATGCAAGTATTGTTGCAAAACCGATCTCTTGCGGACGGATTTTCGGATATTCGTTATATCCGGTGAAGTTGCAGTTTGATCCTTTCTTTTTCACTTCTTGAATCACAAACCGGTTGCAGCAATTTTTCCTATCGATTTGGCAATCGCAAATGTCGGCTCGTTCATTGATTATTGGGTTCCGCGCCTGTGCAAGAAAATGTCCAATGCTAGATCTTTTCTTAGTGGACTTCGGAATGATGCAACGTCCGCTAAGAAAATATGTTTTATTCTTTTTCTCTGCGTCTTCAAGAAACAAACACACTTGTATCCCTTTATTTGCTCTGCCTGTCAAATTCCTGGAAATTTCAATTTCAGAAAGTGTCAGAGACATGAGGAAAGTTGTACCTGCTCCCTTATTTAAATCCAGAGTGTAAATCCAAAATTTTAAATCGTAAGATCAAGTAAAGCTTTCTTGAATTTTCGTTCCTTGATCCATTTTAGAACCGCGATTCTACTTATACGCTGGATCCATTTATTGTGCTTCTAAATTAGATCATCTTAAAATAAAACTTTTACTATTGATCAATTTATTGGTTGAATACTTTTTGCATAGAAATAAATATTAAGCTGTATTGAGTCTGAAGAAATTACTACTGTATTATTACTAATTGACTGCGTTTGTGAAAAATTCACGCTGACACTATGAGGAAAAACAATTGTTCCGCAAAGCTTGACGACGGGAATTTTTATTGGCGCATTTTTTGTAAAAGTCTATTCATTCAAATTTTTAGACTACAGTGGTTTGTTGTATTTATAGATTCTGTTTTAGCAATCGTACCTGCCAAAATGTAGGTTTGCACCGTAATGGATATAAAATTATATGTCATTCCTTCTAGAAATTCTGAAGCATTGAAGACACATCAACATATCAGATGTTGAGCGTTTCTCGTAAAGCAGGAAAGCAAATTCTGTAATTGAATTCGTCATACGTCACTTCAACTTTTTGCGGTTTTTTTTTACGAGAAGATACGATTTTTTTCTCTCAGCTGCGGAGTTCAGCAAATAACTCCGCTTTATCTTCGTTTATCGTGATTTTTTTTTACGAGTCCGTCACGTAATATCCGTTTTAGTGTGTCGTCGTGGGTAATTTTGCGCATGCTGTGCAATTTTCTCAGCAAGGTTGTGATCTTGTTTTCCTTTTTACAATGAGTTGGGAAAACAAAAATAGCTCACCCGTTGACAAGTTTCGCCTTTTCCTCCATGTTTGGACTCTTGACCGCGTGGAAGTTTTGCAAGACGCCATTGAACAGCCCAAAATTGGAGAAATTGAGCCCCGAGGCACGTATACTTAACGTGAAATGGAGCTCCAAATCCGGCTTTGAGTCAAGTTGCAATTTTCATCCCATTCGCCTCCATTTCTCGCCGACGGCCAAGAATTTTTAGCGGAAAGAAAGCTCGAAGGCATTCCATTCCACCTTCATCGCACGCGAAAAAAAAATATATATATTTAAAGGCGTCGTCGTTTCAGGCCGAATTTCGAATCATCGAGTTTCAAAAATGCACACTTGTATCAGCCCATTCCTGCTTGTAATCAGTCGTGTCACTAAGGGAACCCTTGTATGAGTACTTGTCCTACAACAAAAAAATAATAATAATCGTCGGGTTAATAGCGACGCAATTCCGGTCGAGAACACCGATCATTACTGATGCCCTCGAACGGAGACCCTGCTCACTTTTATCGCGACTATTTACGCCGAGTATTCTGAAAGCTTCTTGTTGTTCCGAACACAGACTTTGACCACTAAACCCGAGGTCGAGTGAAGCGAGGTTATGAACTCCTTTTTTACTGCCGTATTTCCTGTACTCGGATGTAGTAAGTAATACTGTACTTCAGATAATTGACAACTCGAATAATGAATTTTTCGCGCAACGCATGGACTCGGTATTGCTTCAGATCATGATCCCTGGGGTATGATGATAGACTAAATGAAAACAGTACAGTATTTGTTATCCTTGAACGAAATCGATGTCGTTGGAAGTTCACCTGCGAGTATACGATAATTTGTCAAGCGAATGGCGGATTTTTATGCGTATTTTTTGGTGATCTTGAGCATTGATTTCCTTTTGTCCGGATTATACCGCATGTCCGCATCATTGTATTAGTAATTTCTATTTCTTTTAAGCCTGTATTTATTCCGTTAATCAAGTCGGGATCCTTCCACGGAATTTTTGGAGAAAGACTTTATAACTTGGCATTTACATCTCGAATATTATTCTCATGAGTACGGATGCGAGAAATCGCTCGCCAAATCGTGATTGACGATATTTTTTTTTCTCTGGAAGCTTGATTTAAATTTTAAATTTTTGTTTGATTACAGGATTTTTACGGAAGACGAAGTGAAGGCGATTAAAACAGTGCGATTGTATGACATCATCGTCAATGCCACTGATATCAAACCCGGAGACATTCAGGAAGAGGTTTTCTTCTGGATGGAAGGAGATCCTTGCCCACAACCGGCTCAGCTCAACACCTCCATGATGGAACCTTGCAAATATCTCGGTGGTTACGATTATTTCCATGTAAGTAATTCAAGTTCTTTTCCCATAAATAAAAAATAAAAAATCGGAATCCATTGAAAAATGCTCACTTGTATTCGGGAAACTAATCCGATTGTTACGTTGTGAGCGCTTTCTGTTCGGTACTTTTTAGCGTTTTAATGTACAGAAGCTTTAATTTCTCGTTAAATGTGACGAGAAAAAATTGATTTCATTTGATCTACAGTGTGTAATTTATAATAGCGGGAAATGTGTGTTTATCATGCTGAGCGAATTCAAATTATTTCGCTAAATAATTTTTTTTTTCGATTTTTGAACGACATTTCCATGAAGTTTGCTTGCAAGTTTCGACTGATGAATTGCTTACTGCCAATTTCAATGCGCCCTTTTTTCCGGAAGAACCTTGCATATTCTGGGAGGCGAGCATTGCTTTTTCTTTTTAACAGCATATTATGAAGATACAATTTTAATCTCCAGTCTGAGAATTTGGGATTCAACTTTTAATTTTTATTTTTCTGCTTGCCCCAAGTTGCGAATTATTTGGCCGTACTTGTCGCTAAGCCGCGGTTTATTTCTTTATAAACCTTTCTTGAACCGGTTTTAGGGGATTTTAGTTGCATTGACCTCATATTGTTTATTCTCTGCATTTTTGTCCGGGTATGATCAGGGAAGCGAAGTGGCGTACATTTATTCGTGCATTTTGCTTGCTGCTGTGCCTCTAATTTGCGCTGGAGCGGGTTACGCTGTGGTCAAGTTGCAAAACTCGAGGCGCCGAAAGTTCAAGATGCAGCAAGAAGAAAACAACAATGGCAAGGCTGTCGACAAGATGGTTGTCAAAGAATGGCTTCATCAAAACCACAAACGACAGGTCTGGCTTCTGCTAATTTTAACCTTTTTTATGCTCATTGATTTTAAATTTTTTGCTTCTCCCAATTTTTTTTTTCGCTTAGGTGAAAATAAAATTTGGGCCGAACGACGCGTTCTACGTTGTCAATCGGAAAGGCGACAAACTGAGGAGTATCAAGCTTGGGAACGTCGATTCAATCGAGGTACAGTATCTTGAACATTTTCTGCACTTTTTATTCCAAGGATTTTAAACAAAGCGGCCTTGCTGATGACCTGCAAATCTTTTTTTTTTTTTTTTTTTGCTGCATGACGCAGAAGATCCCCTTTCACCAAGTTTTTCTGTGCTGCAAGAAAACCATCCCATTCTGCCTTCAAAAAGCAAAACTGTAGGAATGAATTTGTAAATCAGTTCGTGTGCCGTGGAGAATTCCTTTCGAGAGAAAGCGCGTGCGCTCATTTTTTCTGCGACTTCAAGGAATATATTTTAGCAAAACACAAAAAAAAACTTCAGAAACTACTTCGCAGCGAAGCCTTACGTGTCACGACTGCTGCTAGGTGATTCGCAAATTTTGGAGGACGATTATTTCAAGTGTTTAATCTATTAGGAACCAGAAATAAAAATTTTAAATTGTACTGACTGTCACTGCACCTTTTGGAGAAGGGATGTGACGACCCCTTGAACTGATCTAGTTGATTTTTCGAAAAGGTGCCGATAAAAATGAGAGGGATTATCAGCACTACTATTGAATAAAAATAAACTTGACATACGAAGATTTTGTGACGCTCTTCTTGATGAGCAGTCATTAAGAATTTCAATGGTTAACGATGATCGTTGAATGATAATTTATGATTATGTCTCATCGTCGTCTATTTTTAATGCGATGTAATTTTTTACAATAAAAAGAATGCGTAATCGACCATCTGGTTTGATCTGCCTTCAGTGAATATCTCTTGTTGACTTTTATATGTCTCTTTTATAAAAAAAAATTTCATGATATCCAAACCTTTTTCAGGTTGAAATTACTCAAGACATAAAAAAGAAGCCGATGGTGCTGATCAAGTCTCCAAACGACTACGACCTCGTGCTCGAATTCGACTCGATCCACAGCCGGAAAAAGTTTCTCATGAAACTCGAGGTTTTCATCAAGGGCTTCAAGAAGACAACAGAGACGAAACCCACGTACCGAGAACCCATGTTGGCTAGTGCTGAAACCAAGGAACGTCGTCAGAAACGTCTGGAACACTTTTTCCGCGAAGCCTACGCACTTACTTTCGGCCTGAAACCCGGTGAAAAGCGGCGTTTGGAAGACGTTCCCTGCGACGTCATCATGGTCATGAGAACATCCCTGTCTAAGGAAGAATTCGCCGGGGCCCTGGGCATGAAACCCAGCTCTGTGTTTGTCCAGAAAATGTTCAATATCGTCGACAAAGACGGCGATGGACGGATCAGTTTTCAAGAGTTCCTCGACACGGTCGTGTTGTTTTCGCGCGGGAAAACCGACGACAAGCTGCGCATCATTTTCGACATGTGCGACAACGACAGGAACGGAGTCATTGACAAGCAAGAGTTGTTTGAAATGTTTGCTGGTCTGGTTGAAATTGCCAAAACGGATAAGTTGTCTGGCGATGAAGTGAAGAAGCTCATCAACGGAATGTTCGTCGCTGCTGGAGTTGAAGAGAAGGAACATTTGGAGTATGCGGATTTCAAGCGGCTGATGAGAGAATACAAGGGCGACTTCGTTGCTATCGGCCTCGATTGCAAAGGAGCGAAACAAAATTTCCTCGACACTTCAACAAACGTTGCCAGGTTCGTGAAATCAAAAGAGTTTCTGTGAAATCTTCTTTTTTCTTTTTTTAAACTTTTGGTGGCGTTTATTGTAATTTCTGCGCAAGATAGAAGGTCGGAATGAGGGAGGTTTTTTTTTCTCGAAATACAAAATACGGGAACGAGCTTTGAACACGTGATGATATTCCTGTCGAAGAAAAGTGGCAGTGTTCACGGAGGGGGGAAATTCTGCAATTGTCTCAACGGGAAGTTTTTGAAACCCTTAAAATGAGAAGAAAAAAACATTTTTGTGAGGATGCTGCCGCAATTTCTTCAATTTCCCATTTGCTGGTCAAAAAACCTGATACCGCAAGGATAAGCAATTTTCGCTCTAGTTCTACAGCGGTGACAAAGTATTTTGTCATTTGGATCACAACAGAAATATGCCATCTGTTGCCTTTCACAATTTCCGCATTTCCTTGGATCAATTTTTATTGAACTATATGCCCAAAAATCGCTGAAATACCAACTATTTGGTGGGTCTACATAGTAACTCGTGGATCATCTTGTAATTTCAGCTGACATAAACGCTGCCCGTATTTGCAATGCGTTTGATGGATGCGATGGGAAGAAACTTAAATTCCTCACTTTTTCATCTTTAAAATGTGCAGTAATTATTTTCTGCGCAACTGCAGCTGCCAAGGCGTCGTTTATTTGTGGTCGTGCCTGACCTCCGAGGTCAAGGGTTGTGGGGGAAAAAGGGGGAGGAGAGTTGGTCTGCAATGATAGCTTGATTGAGGGATTTTGTTGCAAGGGTTGGCAGTGCCTCTTGTTTGATCCAGATCGACTTTATACTTATCTAATTCAAGCCGTAATTCATTTTTAACCGCCTTCTTCATGGCTGGTTTTCTGAATCGCAAGACAACATCTCATCCAAACCTGTTTACATGGGTCTTAATCTTCCAAAATAGCTTTTATTTATGATTTTCAATGCTATCAGGCGAGTTTTACAAGAAAGGATTCATCTCTCTTCTTTAAGAATCTGGTCCAAAAAATCTCTAAATCAAATGGATCAAAATACTCGATTCCTTAGTGAGTATGTCTGTGTAATGACAAAGTTTCAGAAGACTCAGTTTGTCTCACAATTTTTTCCGTGCTTGTACAAAACATAAGTACTGATACCATTCACGCTATATTTTCTCGATCAACAAGTACAGTAATCCTGTCGATACAATTTTGACTCATTCCTCATCAGTTTTTTTTTTGACACCCTGAAGTCATGAAGCGGATAGAGGAAAACGTGCAACATTATAGGCTTATTGCAATTTGGAGTAAACATAAACATATTGCGAAATGTGGTGACGAACTTTGAAACCATTTGCAGAACTTGCTGTGCATTTTCTTTTATGTTTGAAGGATCAAAATCTTGAGTTAGTTTCTCGGGTTGAATGAAGATTTATTTTAAACTGCTTCAGTACCGTGTAAATTGTCAAGATGGAAATCATGCGGGGCCGGTTGAGGAAATGGACCAAAAATGTGATGTAAAAAGGGCAGGCAGGCAGTAGATTTTGTTACATTTTCCCCTAGATTTTGAAGAATGACGTGGTATAAATCATAGTTATTTTCCCGTATGAAATGAATATTTCTTTTTGGAGATCCCGCCGAAACAGAAATGATTGAAATACGCTTTTCCACTGATGGCGGGGTTTTTTCTCCGGATCCCAGCAGCCCCCTCGTTCATCTCGCTCAGAATCCGACTTTGTGTTCCGTCTTTCTCGTTCTCGTGCTCACGCTCACGTTCTGTATTTCTTTGCGTGGGAAAACCTAAGTCACGACGAATAAAGGGCAGAGCGGAAAAGATGAGGGCTGCGAGGTCAAATCCGCGTGACCCGAGCCCGAAGCCCCGCGTTGCGCACCCTGGGGCGATAAATCCCGAGCCTCGTTTCCGCCCCTGTCGCATATGCACGAAAGGACGATCATGATGATGACGATAATGACGCCTAAAAATTGGCAGCATTGCGTCACCCGGCATTTTGGCGAATGAAAAATGGTAATTTCGAAAGAGAAACGGCGGCGCGGAACGAAACTTGGTGGCTGTCAAACGTTTTCAAGTTCATCGTGATGATGATGGGAAGCATTTTTTAGCCGACACAAAATAATTTCGAATCCTTTCCTAATTATTATTATTTTTCAGTTGAACTGATTTGAATCTCTCTTTTTTTTGCAGAATGACAAGCTTCCGGCTGGACGCGATTCAAGAGAGGAATAAACCTTGGGTCCGGAAGAAGTGGGACGCTTTGACTACGTTCCTGGAAGAAAACCGGCAAAACATATTTTATCTCTTCGTCTTCTACGTCATCACCATCGCTTTGTTCATCGAACGATTCATTCGTAAGCGTCCTTTTTTGTATGCTTATTTGCGAAATAACTCTGCAATTTTCTTCTTGTATTTCTGGGAAACATCGCGAGGGTGAGAAACACCAGCACAGTACACGTGAAATACACAGCTTCAATTTATTGAGATGTTCTGCAAAAAATGTTCACTTATGCTTATTTCTTAAATACGTTAAGCCTGTCATGTTGGCTATCAGAAGTCGAAAATAATCAATCAATGGAAGAAGCTACAGCATGTACAGTAATTCACATCCAGAATTTCACATGTTGTTGTGATAGAACACAACGCTTGTAGATGAACGGTGAAAATTCTGTTGCCGAATCTGTGCTCCTTGTCATTTTTTCTCTTCATAGATTCACAAAATTCGTGAAATAAATAGTGATTCACGCGTTATTCGTCTTACTAGCATTTTTAGCGAGTTATGTGCATCTAATCAAGGAATAAATTTGATGTAATTATTTCGCTGATGAAATAATTTCCTGTCCACTATTTCAAATTTTTGCCTACCGAGGTTGGAATGAAAAAAAAACAGTAACTTGACAGTGCAGACCACCAATGTGAGAAAATGAACGTTCACCTCCCTTGATTGCATATACAGTATCAAAAAGTTTCCGGTGATTATTGTCCTACCAAGTGAAAGTAAAAAAATAATTGTTTATGTCGGTCTCCCGTGTGGCCGTATCCGATGACCATGTTCACTCGGTGGGAACAAAAAAGTTATTGATTTGGGAAAGTTTTATTTTAATACCATAGCAAGAACGAGAATTTTTCCGAGTCCGGGCTGAAATTTTAGCAAATCGCGGACGAAGAAAGTGTTGATTTGAAGAATTATATCATCAGAAAATGACCTCGACGCGCGAAGTACTTCATTTCAAAGTGCTGAACTGACATCTTCTCAGCCATCCATAGCATAATCATATCATTAAAAACATAATAATAGATCTTTACATTTTCCCCCCCGCTTTTTGAATTCATGCCGTGAGTTTTGAAAAATCGTGAAGCCTTTACGTATTTTCGGCTCAGGCTCGTTGGGAATGCGGAGATGATTCCGAGTCTCCTGGCGCGCGATTATTTTTATGGGCTCGCGGACGGGGTGCAAAATCGCGTGATGAGGACTACCTGGCGTGCTCATGGCTGGTTGTGGATAACTAGACAAGCCGAGATGATGCATGTGACGAGGTGGAAAATTGGCTAACCACGGGGGACGAATAACGTCGCTCCTGCGCGTTCTGTGTGCTTGCTGAAGAGAATGTGAAGTCTTGTACTTTTTTTATTTATCATTTGTAAGACTCCGACTAAATTTCAGTTAACGAAACTTGATGAAAATCATCCCGTTTTATTTATTATGTATTTCGTTCGTTCATCGTCGGGACTTCTCGATGCATTGATATGTGTTTCCACTGTGGCTGCTTTTATTTTTGCTGCATCTCTTGTGCGCTGGTAATGCGGCTACTACTGAGCTTGATTAGGATAGAATGATCAATGATTTGAATAAATCAAACAGCCTGGGATAGTGTGGCAAACAAGCCACAAATAAAATAAAATCGTTGCTGAAAACTGAAGAATTAAATCAAGAAAACCCATGATCCACCGGGAACACGGCAGGGAGCCCTTCGGTACGGACTCCAAAGGAAGAAGTACATGTACTTCTAATGACATACGAAATAATCAACACTTTTCAGACAGATAACCAACAGCACCGAACGAGTTCATGGTGTAATCAGGGAATTCCAATGTGGAATTCCCGGTTGGAGGTTTTTAGGTGCGTCTGATGGGAGGGGGTCGCGCTTATGGCGACATCTGTGCCTAACAGGTAGCCTAGACTCCCTAGAGTTTTACCCTGCAGGAGTAATTATCTTCAATAATATCCCGACAGAAAAGGCAAATCGGCAATTTTTGCTCACAGCAAAATAACACGCGCCCTTCTACAAATATGCCTTGAGGCAGACTGATGATGAGGTACAGATTTGAAAGCCCTTTCTTTAAATATTTCTTACGATTGGCATCGATTAGAGCTAGGTGAGAAAATCGTCAGTTTTTTTACAGGCCTGTGATAGGTAAAAAAAAAGGCAGTCTAAGACAACGTTGTATCCTGTGAAAAAAATAGAATTTCGGAATGGGAGCTTCTTGACGCCTATTTATCTCCTTGTTACCGGGATTTCCGCAACACTTGATTAATTTTTATCGGGTTTTTTCACGCTTCATTATTTGTATCATCTCATTCGCGAGATGCAGCGCAAAAATTCCACGATAATAGCATCTGTAGAAAAATAATGAGAAAGTGAGAAAGGCTTGAAAAGTAATGTTTCAGAGTTTCAGGAGGCCTATTCGCAAGGGGTTCAAAGCATGCAAATTCGCGTATTATCGCTTTGCTTGACCGGACGTTTTTTGTGATCCGTCGCGTTTGAACTTGGTCCATTTCTATTTAAAGAGATAAGAGAATGAGACGTGGGCTGTAACTCACCTTTCATCTCTGGAGAATTGGATTTATAAAAAGAAAAATTTGTAAGTAGAATGAATTAAAAAAAAAAAAACCTTCATGACTCCTTCCCGTTGCGGGACTGAGATCTAGTCGATATTCGCGATTTGACGCTGGGCTGTGCCCATAGTCGGTCGTAAAATTCCGAGTCGGAAAGAAAATGAGATGGATTTTACGATAGTTTAGCGAATGATTTTTTGCCAATTTTATTCGGAAAACTTCTTTTTTTTTTTTTTGCTTGCTAGGTTTATGCGAAAGGGATTTTTGCAGAGCTGCAAGCCATCCAGGCACTGATCACTTCACGCAGGGAAACTATTCTCGCCTCCTGCTTCGTTTCCCGGGCGATTATTATTATGCGTTCTTTTTTAATCACTTCAAGTGTCGTCTTTCGCGATGTGATGACTGATGTGGGGTCTTTAAAGCACTGACAATCTTTTTTGGTTCGACAGATTATTCTTTCATGTCGGAGCACACGGACTTGCGACACATCATGGGCGTAGGCATTGCCATTACTCGAGGTTCGGCAGCGTCCTTGTCGTTTGGCTACTCGATGCTGTTGTTGACGATGAGCAGGAATCTGTTGACGAAGTTGAAGGAATTTTCCATACACCAGTTCATCCCTGTCGATTCGCACATCCAGTTCCACAAGATTGTCGCTTGCACGGCACTCTTCTTCAGCAGTAAGTTTGACAAGTACTGTATGTAACACAAATGGAGGAAAAGAAGCTGACGAATATTTACTTGAACATCAAACGCATCTTGATTTATTAAACCTCGAAAATGGATGTTATTTTTCTCAAGTGCGCGTATGGAACGCGATTTCATTCCGTTTACATTTTTCAGTATCAGCAAAGACTGTCGATTCTTTTTGTTCTTCAGTTGTGCCAACTTGATATCCTTTATGTACGCGGTGCCGCGGAAATCAGGATTTTAAGTGTTGTGCATTTGAAGAGCAAATATTTCAAGAACCAAGATACAGTAATAGGCTTTTAGACAAATTTCCTCTGAAAGATTGTTTTGTGGCTATTGTACGAGAATCGAGGGTGCCATACAATTTGACACACCATGATTTTGTGGGAACGATTTTTGCGGGGAAAATACTGTGCGTTTTATAATCGAAACGATACGGTCAAAATATGAGGGGAACTAATTCGGCTGATGCTTTATTTTTTGTGTCTCTTTTTTATTTTTAGTTGTCCACACTGTGGGTCATATAGTGAACTTTTACCACGTTACCACACAACCCGTTGAACACCTGCGTTGCTTGACGAGTGAAATGAATTTCCCGTCTGACAAGAAACCTGGGATCGATTTCTGGCTCTTCCAGACTTTGACTGGTGAGAATTTTTGCTTCTCGCTTTCATGAGATAGTATTGAATTTTTTCATAAGCAAAATATTCAGGGGATTAACGTTGTGCATCATCAATTTATATAAAACTATAAGCTTCTGCTTAGTATTCATTGGCATTACGAAATCCTGGAACTTGTTGTTAAAAACATACTTTTATTTTCGTTACTGTTTTTATTCAAGATTTTGAAGGTATTTCGAATAATGAGCATATTTCACCCGATTCTGTTCATCCCACCAGCCTTGAAGCAGACATTAAATTTAATTCCGGTAATTAATAAAAATGGAAATAATGGAAAAATCAGTAACTTACTCTTGCTTAATTTAAGTTCAGTTCTGTCATTTTCTGTCACTTCAGCGATTCTAGAGAAATACTTCAGATACTTTAGAAATCAAAGCTAGGTATTACTGTGGAAAATGCATTTTCAAATGCCAGTGACTACAGATTTTCATACTCTTTTCAATGAAATCGTGACGTGCCTAACTCCGTAATTTTTTGGCATTTAAATAGTTACCGCTTAGTTCTCTACATTTTTTGAGCTCAAATCAAAGGTTAATCATTTTAGGTTAGGGTAGTTTTCTCAGAGAGCCAGTTTCTCTGAAATAAAGGGCAAACTCTAAAAAAAATATATGTTTGCTTATTATGTGTTCCCACTCTCTTGACCTGAAATATACACACATTAAATGTTGTAGGATCTTCAATACTTGATCCTGCTTTCACTTGAAATGAATTTGTTGTTTGGAACATGTGGCAAAACTCTGCATCAATTGCCTGCATCTGGAGACCAGGTCCAGATGTCTCCAACATTTTTTTTATTAGAAATTTTCGTATCGTGTAAATATTCTCTGGTTTATGAAATTATTTGAAAATGTTCATCAGGATCAACCGGAGTGCTGGCGTTCGTCACTATGTGCATCATCTTTGTGTTTGCCCATCCCGTGATCCGGAAGCGGGCATACAAGTTTTTCTGGATGACGCATCAGCTCTACATCCTGCTCTACGTGCTCTGTTTGATCCACGGATTAGGACGTCTAACTGGTAGCCCCAGGTTCTGGATCTTCTTCGTCGGGCCCGGGATCATCTTCACACTGGACAAGGTGATCTCATTGCGCACGCGCTACATGGAGCTGGACATCCTTGAAACGGAGCTGCTGCCTTCTGACGTCATCAAGATAAAGTTCTACCGACCACCGAATCTCAAATACCTCTCAGGTAACAATGACGTTCGTTGTCTCTGTGCTTACTCTCGTTTGTGCATGAAGAAAAAATAGAAAAATGGGTGTTGTCTTGCGAAATATTCCGCCTATATTGCTCGAGACATACTAGTGCGTTATGATGCCACTCAGTTATTTTGCATGGGGAAAATGTCCAAATCAGGAGTGATGTTGGTTCGCTTGTTTAAAATATTCGTCCTTCACTTCAGTCGTTCAGGATCGAGGGAAACAAGGGAAGCTTTTCATCCCCATTCCTTCTTTTGTAGGCACGACTTACGAGGGTAGATTCAGAAGTTTGTTTCAGTTTTGTGGTTTTATTTTGTTGAATGGATGAAAGCTGTGAGTAGTATTTTATACAGAGTACTATAACAGTTGCTGATTTCCTGATGATTGCTTCCAAGTCTTCATCCCCGGCCCCACGTTGAATCAGAGAGATGATCGATAGTAAACGTTGAAATGAATCCCTTCGATAAGCGTTGTGGAGGTTTTCTTACTTCTACGTTTTATATGACTTCGTAAGTGGTCTCTGTAGTACTGGACGATTGTAGATTTTAGAATCTTCCAGTGAAAGTTCTGCCAATTTTACTAGAGTACAATAATTGCTTAATGTTAAAATTGTCCTAAAATATTAGTTTTTTTATTTAACAAAAAATTCGCTTATGAGTCAAGGCTGGAATTGGAGAGTACTTGAAAATTGATTGAAGCTTTCTTCAAGTCTTATTGTGAATTGCAGTGTTGTGGATGCTCGTGCGTAGAAAAGAAAAACGTTAGCTTGAGGTATTGACTAAATTTTGAAAAATTCCTCGTATCGAGTCTCTGAAAACCATGGAAAATGCAGTAAACCCTCCCAAAAACTCAAATTATCCGGACTTGTTTTATCCGAATTTTCATTTTTATTCTTCTCTGTAAAGGGCTTAATCAAATGCGAATTGATGAGATTATTCCGCGAATCGGGCTCGTACACTCTCGTAGTATGCGGCAACTAATTGCCTCCTGAGTTGCGTGTTTCCCCTTTCCCGACTCCGTTGATTAATTCGTGTTGTCTTGTCTGCGTGTGTGTGTGTACTTGTTGGGTACAGGGCAGTGGGTGAGGTTGACCTGCACCGCGATTCACCCACTGGAGTACCACTCGCTGACCCTGACGTCGGCACCGCACGAGGATTTCCTGTCGGTGTCAGTCAAGGCCCAGGGCCCCTGGACGTGGAAGCTTCGCAACTACTTTGACCCGTGCAACTACAACTTCAGCGAGGAAAACAGGCCCAAGGTGAGCGGAAGCTTTTGACTGAACGGTTCCCACAGAATTCTTATGCTAAACGAATGCCCATCGGAAAAAAATTCTTTCTTTTTTTTTTATGAAGCCAAGGTTCTGGGAAGAAATTTTGATTTAGTTGGAGAAAGGCGAAGCTCTCTTTATTCCGGCGACTCTCGTAAATTAGAGGCTCACATCATTGATCTACTTGGGAGAAATCTGATGTATCCCCAAAATATTCCTTCCTGAAGCGCGGAAGGTCAATTTTTTTTTTCTAGAAGAATTACTCGGATGAAAAAGAGGATAAAATAAGCAAAATCAGAGAATGTCACAATCTAATATTTGCATTGCTATGCGTATGTCTTTCAAATTTTTATAAGAAAGAAATGATTACGGATTAAGCGAGGCTAAACAGGGAAGGAAAATCGGATGTCCTCGGCGATCTTCTTGACATTGGTGCATTAAACAGCTCAAGTTTTTTTTTTTTGCACGAAGCTCGCTGAACGTTTTTAATCAAAACAATGACTCCGAATGTCGAGGCTCGTGAGGATTATGGATGTGTACAGAAATTCAATATAGAATGCACAGTTTTTTTTTTCTTGTTGATGTTCCACATCAATGCATTGGAAGCCACACTATATAATTTGAAGGCTCGACTCTTCCTTTGTATTTTTGGGATGATTTATAAACAAGCAATTATCAAAGACCGAAGAAAAATTAAACAAAAGGTTTGCCTTCGGCGTCGTGGGAATGTGAAAGGAAGCCTATGAGTTAAAAAAATCGAATCTAGTTTCTAAATAGGGCTGTATTCTGGAAGCTCTCGTAAGATTCACGTGAGGTTAAAATTCACGCTCGGAGGAGAACGGTTTGAATAATGCGTTCGCCTCGGGCTTGATTTATTTTTCCTTTTTGGGAATTATTTTTTCCCGTGACCCCTTTTGCGAACTTTCGGCACGAAAGGAAGCGCTGTTCGTTTGCGTGCCCCGACTGTAGTACGGATGAGGGTTAAACGAATTCCTTTCGAAATAACGCAGGACTTCGCAGGTGCTCCATCAAGAGGAATCGTCGGTAACACCTTTGGAGGTGGAGCATCAAGTCTCGTGCTTCTGGCAGGAAGTTTTGCCTTCCGATTCTCCCCCTAAAATAAAAAAAATATATACAGTATATATAAAATTAAAAACACTCATCGGCATTTAGGAACAGTTTTTTTAAAACTTTGTCTCCTCTAGTATTCCCTACGTAGAAGTTATGATTCGAACTCTAGTGAAAAAGCTGGCAAGGATCTTTTCATTTTTAATTTCAGATTGAAATTTTAATCAAAAAATTTTCTTTGTCAGAAATAGGGAACTAATCGGTCATCAAATTAAAGTGTCCCCTTGATTTCAATGAAAGCCAATTTTAGAGCCACGAAATTTGTCTTCCGTTGCATCAGCCATCGCGCGGATACTCAGTCGTGTTTTCATTGAAACAAAAATATAAGGTAGCTGAGTTTTTCATGGTTTGCAATTTACCAGAGCTCTCGAATATTCCTCATCACTATTTTGAACAAGTTTCGGAGACTTGTAAAATTGTCAGTAGGAATTTCGTGTTCGGGATCACTTTATAAAAAGTTTTGCTAATCGATTCTCAAGTTTTCTTCGTGATCAGTGCAGACTCGCAAAATACAAAATTTTTCTCCACAATTTGAGCAATTTGAGTCGTTTTATTCTTTCTGATGAAATGGAGGAAAAGTATTGTACGGTGATAGCTTCTACCAAAATGAAGAGTCAATTTACTATGGAGCCTAGCTGGACTTATGCTGTAATTTAAACCAGAGCTTCTCCGCCTCTCGTATATTCTATCAATCCCAATGTTTATTCACCACCTGCTTTTTAACAATAAATAAGTACAGTGCCGCCAGATTGATGGGATGCGTATACTGTATTGCGTAACAAAGGATTTTTTGTCTCAGCATTAATAAAATAAATATTTCTGCGCACCACCTTTCAGCGCATCTCGCTTGTGCTTCGACCACCGCTTGGAAGGCATTCCTTTAGATGTCACTCCAGTGCGACCATAAGTTCCGGATCTGCGTTCTTCTTGGCCTTTTGTTGAAAACGTTCAGAAGATCTGAGGATTGCGTTATCATTTTTGCAGATTCGACTGGAAGGTCCATTCGGAGGCGGAAACCAGGACTGGTATAAGTTCGAGGTCGCCGTGATGGTGGGCGGCGGGATCGGCGTGACGCCATACGCATCCATCCTCAACGACTTGGTGTTTGGCACGTCGACCAACAGATACTCCGGGGTGGCCTGCAAAAAGGTGTACTTCCTCTGGATTTGCCCGAGCCACAAGTCCTTTGAGTGGTTCATCGACGTTCTGCGAGACGTGGAGAAGAAGGACGTGACCAATGTGCTGGAGATCCACATCTTCATCACGCAGTTCTTCCACAAGTTCGATTTGCGCACGACCATGCTGGTGAAATAACGCTAATTTCGCTTCGCTTTGAGAAAAAAAAAATTGCTCATTTTGCTTGCTTTTTCTTCCCTTTTGCTTTACAGTATATCTGTGAGAACCATTTCCAGCGGCTGAGCAGAAGAAGCATGTTCACAGGTTTGCGTGCAGTTAACCACTTTGGACGGCCAGATATGACGGCTTTCCTCAAGTTTGTGCAGAAAAAGCACGCCTACGTGAGTTTTTTTTTTTTTTTCAACATTCTGCAATCCTACGCATCAAACGATTCCGAAGGAAATTGCGAAATTGAAAAGTAACCCTATTTTTTGAACAGAACTGCTTCTCGGGAATCCATATTATTCGAGTGGAAAAATCTGGGAACCAAAACAGAATTTTGAAGGAGATGTTCACTATTCACTTCCGTTCCGCCAGACGTAACTTGGCTCAAACCCAGAAAAATAACTGAAAAATCACTTGAGTTCGCTGCTTTTTTTAATGACGGTGAAAGATAGTTCATAAATAGTTAGGAAGTCTTGGTATTCATGGTTCTAATAGGAGATTGCGGGTTTTAGATACCCAATGCTGGATTTATAACTTGTTTTACAGCTCGGATAATGTGATGGGGAAGGAGCTGTTTATTTTTGAAGGTTTGCTTTAATACTCTACCTTAATAGAACTGTGAGACACTGTTAATACAGTAGTAGACAAGATCATGAGGGGAGAGAAGACGCATTTTTGAAAAATTTTGAAGGGAGGGGTGCAGCCTCATCTGGAATACAGTACAGTATTGTAATGTACTCGATCCAGATCCGCGAATTTGAATCAGCGACATCTATCTGCTGGAATACTTCTGTTGGTTTTTTTATGTACCGTACGAGATGGTGACAATTACAGTATTTTTAATGCGAAGTAATACTGATGTTGTTAGCATAATTGTCTGCTGAGACGAGAAACTCAATTTCAGTTGGGATTTTAGAATACGATGTTGTTTTAAGCGAGATTGTTGGAAGATCGAGAGTTCTTCTTCTTATATTATTGCTTTGCGGATGATATGTCCTTGGAGAGAATAATATGTCTGCTTTCTCAAAAGGAAACTCTGAAGCATGAAAAACCCAAAGCGAAGTCAATCGCTTGTGATAATTGGGGTGATGATAATCATTAGTAAGGAGTAAAAAAATGCATTTTTATTATTTGCAGGTGAGCAAAATTGGCGTGTTCAGCTGCGGGCCGAGGCCACTAACAAAATCCATCATGGCAGCATGCGAGGACGTCAACAAGGGCCGAAAACTGCCATACTTCATCCACCACTTCGAGAACTTCGGTTAATGATTGCTGTGCGTTGCTCGTCGAAATATTGCTCTTTCCGTCCTTTTTTCTTTCTTTCATTTGTCATCTTGAAATGTGTACTGGTGCACCGGACGATTGAATGTTGATCCGAAGCTCGATCCAACTCTTTTGCTTTTTCTCTGTGCGGGGAGAAGGAAACGTTAGGTGATGCTTTTGCCGGGTTCAGGCTTTCCTTTGGAAATTATTTCCTCCTCATCTCTTTACCTGTTTATACTGTACTGTACTTGTGTGTTATACTTCGCAAACTGTAGCTGATGTGATCAAATGTGGGGGAATTATGCTGTTCGCTGCAAAGGAGGGGGGCGACCGCAGGCAGAATGGAATTCTGGGGAGAAAATGCTCGATTTTAAAAAAAAATTTAGAGTCCAACAAGTCTTTCAGACGGTTTGAAAAGAGATTTTGCAATTTTTGAATTGTAATTATTGCCATTTCAGAAAAGTATCTGTTCGCGATTAGCGCGCCAAGTGGATTTTAGATGTGAATGCGGCATTAATTTCTGTATCCATCGGAAAATTTAAAAATGAACCTCGATTAAAGATTCGTTTCGGTCAGAAAAGTTGCAGAATATCCGCGGGTTCGTATTTTTTTTTCTAGAGGCACGTCATGTAAATTTGAGTTTACAATTTATTTTTGCTCATTTGCTGGGATAATTTATTTTCCACTTTTTTTGTCGAATGAGTGATTCCTCTTCTCCTAAAGGCGGTTGTGTAAACTTCCGATACTGAGTTCGAGTGAAGGGTGATGCGATGCTGTTTGTTCTGAATTTTCCTCTTGCTTTTTTGGATGCTTGTTGAAAAGCGTGAAGAATGAAATCTGGCATATTTTCATTCCAAGAGCCTTTTCTTTAAATCATGTGTTTTGTGCGCGCCAATGTAAGCCTTGTATAATTAGACCATATTACTGTACTAGAAAATTACTAGAAAATAGGAGGAAACTGTTGTAGAGTCCAACTATACCGCATACTACGACGTTGATGCTCAAACAATTTTAGACTAATTTCATTTGCAAAAGACTAAAAAATTCTTAGAAACATGGAAGCATTGAATAGTGATTGAATGATAACTCAGAATTCTCTCTGAATAATGGAGTGCAGCACACAATCAAATCACTTTACTTAGCAAATAAACCATAATTGTGAACATGAAATCAAACCTTGTGAAGAAACAATTTGGAAAAGGCATGGGAACTCTGCAATTACAGACAACCATGGCTGAGAATATGATTAGTAGTACAGGTGGTGCCCCGCAATTCGACCCTAATTGTCAGCTGGACCACAGTCAAATCGCGAAGTGGTCAAATTTCAAGACAATGTCAATTAAATGTCATGTTTTCTACATGGCATTTGATGTTTTTTTCTCATCTCTGCAGGGCAAATTGCGCAGCAGACGTTGAATTGCAAGTTGTCCTCCCAACAAATTCGACCATTGAATTGCTGGAGGTCAAATTGAGGTACCACCTGTACAGTAACTCAAGTACTTTACAGAATTCTTATGATAATGTCAGTGGGTTTTGGGACAACAGTACTGTATGGGTAGATGGGTAGTGCACCCTGTCGGAGAGTGGAATACGCTCTGTGATAGAGACGGCATTCTCTACAAAGATGCGGCATGGCTCCGTGCTCTGTGGCTGTGGCATGTTGCGCAACTTTTTCTGGGTGCCTGGAGTGTCTTGGTCTTATCCGATTCGCGTGCTGTGCTGTGTAAATCGTGTGGCTAGATTATCCTGCGATGTCAATTGTTCAACAATTCTGAAAGCTGGTTACTATCTTGTCATTGCTCGAACATTGTGCAGGTTGATTGGTGTTGACTTCATTCTACGTAAAGCGTTGTTCCGACCTCGCTGTTTGTGGACTCCGTTAATCTACCATGGCGCAGAACAAAATGAATGACTTCGTCAACCGATTCGGAAAGACGCCGAGAGGGCTTGGTGTGGGTGTCAAGTTGCTCGCCACAGCCGGTGCTGCCGTGTACGGAATTTCCCAATCAATCTTTACAGGTGATGCGAAGGTGAAGGTATGAGACGTTGAGCGTTTCCGTTGAGATGTGTATTGTGTTCTACAGTTGATGGTGGGCATCGAGCTGTTATGTTCAATCGAATTGGTGGTGTATCGGACCTAACATTTTCTGAAGGTCTTCATTTTCGTATCCCATGGTTCCAGTATCCTATTATTTACGACATTCGGTACGACTTCGCAGATCCAGAGTTGGACCATAAGTGCCCAAGACTGATGTTTTCGTGTTTTTGCAGGTCGAAGCCAAGGAAGATATCTTCTCCCACCGGTAGTAAAGACTTGCAGGTTGTGAACATTTCTCTTCGGGTTCTGTCTCGTCCGGATGCGAACGAACTGCCGAAAATTTACAAAACCCTTGGCTTGGATTATGACGAACGAGTTCTTCCATCGATTTGTAACGAAGTATTGAAAAGCGTTGTGGCTAAATTCAATGCATCTCAGCTGATCACGCAGCGTGCCCAAGTCTCGCTTTTGGTCAGGAAAGAACTTATCGATCGTGCTCGTGATTTCAATCTTATCTTGGACGATGTATCCATCACGGAACTTAGCTTCGGTAAGGAGTATGCCGCCGCTGTTGAAGCTAAACAGGTATGTGCTTCACTTCAGGAGTTCTTCCGGATGCTGTGATATATTTTTTTTTCTTTTTACAAAGGTTGCGCAACAAGAAGCCCAACGTGCGAGCTTCTTTGTGGAGCGTGCTAAGCAGGAGAAGCAGCAGAAAATCGTTCAAGCTGAAGGAGAGGCTGCAGCAGCGAAATTGATATCCTTTTCATACTGATAACACTACTGCTTTAATTAAATACAGTACCCTGTGATGAACCAGTTGAGAGATGCGTGAGGACTAGTCGTTTGGAATCTTGATGCTTGTCATTCAAGGCTATTGGCAGCATTGTAAAGCCAAACGTACATAAATGTTTTGTGCGTGAATTCGAATTAATCCAGTCGTCACGTGTCTGGACTATATTCGCGGCTGATCCGTACTACAATGCTCTCTTCTGTCCTATCTCTTCCCCTTCGTCTTTCTATGCTATTGTCTTCGCGCCGTGTGATCGTATCTTTAGTAATCTGAGGGTGAATATCTGTCAATAAGCCATCATTGATGTTAGATTTCCTTAACCAGTTGCTGCACCTGGGAGAAGCTGTGAGCGAAAATCCCGGTTATTTGAAGCTGAGAAAACTGCGAGCAGCACAATCAATTGCCAGAACGGTGAGATAAATTAAGGAATAAGGCAGTCAAGCACAAGGGGTTGCGGAAGAATGTTTTTGCGCGTTGTTGAAATTCGCACTCCGTGCATTCGTGTTAGGGGGCGTCACTTGGTTTCACGTATAGGGAGATGTGCACCCGCAAGTACTTGTCTCGCGAAGGTATTCGAGAGCAATTAAAATTCATGTAATCTTACTTGAGGGATAGACTTCATTCAAGCATTTAGTCCACATTTCTTGGAGCATATTTCTTTCATTTTTACAACGTTTAGATGTCCCGAATGCCTGGTTGTATTCTGATGATCTTCTACTGTTCATTGAAGTTTTCGCTACACAGGTATTGCCAGGCGCGCAGATGGCAAGAATGTATCAGCTGTATAACGTGCTAGGGAATTTGGATTTTTCAATTTCTACTGCTTTCATGTGCTGATACATTTTCTTCGTCCAGGTGGCCGCGTCCCAGAACAAGGTTTACCTGAATGCGAACACGCTAATGCTGAACATCAACGAGGCGGACTTCGATAATGCATCCGACAAACTGGCATCGGTAGGAGCGTGATATTTACAAAAACCGGTCGAAACAACTTACGCGGATGAGATCATGCCGATGGTGTCGTTTTTGTTGAAGTAGAAATGTGGAATAAGGAAATCAGAGTAGCTAGGTTTCCTATTGTTTGAACTTTCTCCGGGATCTGCTCGTGTCTTGCTCTGTGATCCGAAATTTTTTTTCTGGTGCGAGAATCGTGTTTTGGTTTTACGCCTGTGAGAGCCAGATGGTTCTTTCTGAAAACCGACGTCGATTTTCCGATTTCTCGCTTTAAAGACATCGGTAAGCGTTTATTTTGCCTTTTCCCACAGGCATTTTACGCGGCGTTCGGCGGTGAAGAGAACCTCAAGGGTTTCGTGTGAATCGTTAGTGGACTGGTACAGATTTTATCCGCCGGTATTCATCTGTTCGAAAAATTCTCTTGAATGGGATTCGCGTTGGTTTTCCTGTTACGGGCAATTGAATAAAATTCGCGTGTTCCGATTGGATATTCAGTGACGTTTTCTTCAAGCTTTACCTTCTCGCATGAATTCCTCTCTTTTGAAGCCTGTTCATTTAGTGGAAACGCTGTCCATGGTAGGATACGATTTCCTTCAGGGCCTTATTTCCTTTACGTTTTTCGTCGGTCTTTTACCTTTGGACCTGAAGAAATAAAGCTTACATATTTTTAAGAAAAAAATTCGTGTAGGGTACTAGGAATAGTGACAATTTGATTTTTCCCGGTGCTCATTTCTCTCAAATGAACGATTTTTTCTTTTTTAGTTGCAGCGTTATTCCTAGTCTCCATCCCCGAATACTGTACGGTACAGTACTTTTACATTCAGAAAGCTGCTCTTGTATTTTGATGGTTGATTTTACTTATGCTTCGTGTTTGACTTAAAACGTTTGTCGAAACCCGTCGCGCTTTTTGTACTCCCGGTTTCCCTAACAGTAATTTTCCATTATTGATAGCGGATTCTGAAGGTAATCATGCTCTAAATCCGAATACCGTGCATAATGCGTGCGTTGGGATGTTACACGTCTGAAGAATTGTCTTCAAGATCTCATACGCTGTGAAATTTCGGTGAATGTATTCGAGACAAATCGGAACCCATTACTGTATGTTGGAGAGCTCTTTCGTGACGATGCCCGTCTCCAAATGTTTAATTCGTCCCACGACCTTCAAAATTGTATCATGCAAGATAAAAAATAAGGAAATCTTAGAAATTTCTCCCTCTTTTCTTATACGATGCAGAGATGTTTTGCTCTACTCTGATTCTTATTTTCTTATTACTCTTCTCACGCAGATTTTTCACTTTTCTGAATGCATCACAGGTTATGCTCTGTAACAGTTCATTAATATACCCAGGATACTACATGAAGAAAAGAACTACGTTTTAGGACCAAACGCTGGAGAGTATTTTGACATTTTTATAATTTTTTTAAAACGTCGAGAACTAAAAACGCTTTTCCAGTGCCAGTTATCGATACTGATACTTTACTACAATAGGCATGCATCGGATGCTCAGTAGAGCCAGATTTTTTCATCGCAGCGGGCCACTGTGCAGAATACCGCTGCGTTTATGCAAATTTGCCGGTCTGCTAAATATTCCCCTTATTTTCAGAAGTCCAAAGCGAATTTTATGGGCGGAGATTTTCCGATTCGGATTAGGATAGCCTGATTGAAGAAAAACCGGTATGCCAAACTCCTCGTGGCAAAGAAGTGATGGATTTGTATTGTTCCGGAATTCCATTATTTGTACATACGTTCCACTGAGTACATAATGTAAACCGCTTGTACAATGGCTAATTTCTTTCAGACCCCAAAGAAGTCGAGCGCAACTGCATAAAGTTATGTAGAATGCTTATTTTTAGTAGCTTTTCCGTATCCACATCACATATTTGGAATATAGCCTGTAGAAATTCTAAAAAATATGCTTGAATGGATGATCAATGTAAAAGAACAAAGCGCTCAGAAACAAGAAAATTAATCGCGAAGTCGACGTGCTATCGAACATACTTGCACAGCTTCTAACGATTTTTAGAGCTCGACAGCCACATTTCTCAGCGTTGAACGCAATATCATTGTGTATTTTCCAAAAAAATAAGTACCCTGCGAACCCCCCCCCCCCTAACTCGAAGACTTCCTCCCTCATACCTTCATCAGCCGAATTTTCTGGAAATTCATTTTATTGACATAGGAGAGAAAAGCAATAAGAATGTAATTTTGTGTTTTGAAAGGAAGAGAGAGAAATTGTGCAACTATAAACCCTTGCCGTCAATTTCCACATCCTGTCAACTCATTTAGGAAGTAAATGAAGGCCAAAATTGCAATTACAGTAACTGTTATTTTTTTTCTTTTCCTCAGCAAAAATTCTTTTTCGTTGGACTCGAAACTTCCCTTCCTTGAATTTTGCAGCTGGCCCCTTGAAATTTGACTCAAAGAGGTTTGACTGCGGTTACGTTGGACCATCATAAATACTGTACTTTGCATTCATAGAATATTTTGTTCTGCCACTGTTCTTACTGAGCATTCAATCGTGGATTGATTGCTTTATTGCTAAATTTGCTCTATTTGCTACTTGACAGCAACTCAGCATTCACATGATTCAAAACATTTTGCCCCATCCCATCAAAAATAAGAATAAAAACTAAAAAGAACAAAATATGCATCATAGTTACATACAAATGCATGCATTTTGGTCATTTTTTGACAGAAGGGCTTACAATGCTGAGCTGTTAGTGATCACAATTTAAAATTTTAAATCATAAGGTATTCCGTCTGTTCCCAGATTATTAAGAATCGATTGAATGCTGTAGAAAGATTCTTCGAGGATTCTCTCTGGAAAGAAGCATGGATGTTTGTTGAAATGCTGACGTTTTGCTCAGTCATGCTTTTGGACCGTGCTTTCGCGAAGGAGAGGCAGCAGCACAGTGGAATACAGTGGCAGAGGAGGGGGTGCTTCGAACAGAAGAAGAAGAAGCGGCCGGTCGGGGGGGGGGGGCGCGACGGCGGGGGAAAAGACGGCTGTTCCACCCATCCACGGGGCGACAAACATAGTAAGTCCGTCTCCACGTGACTGAGGACAACGACGCCCGTGATCCCATGCAACGGGGGTGGTAGCAGGGGGAGTGAGGTGCGTTATATATACAGTATACGGTACGTGGACCGGGTTCCCTGGTCCGATGGGGTTGACGCTCTCTCGTGCATGGGGGAGGAATCCATCCTTGCGCGCCTTCATGCCGCTGCTGCTGCTGCTGCTGCGTCTGGGTGCAAGTACCAGCGCGCGGGGTAGTACTAAAGTTTCCGTGCAGTACAGCTGACGATTTTAGAATGGGGTTCTCTTGCTGGGAAACCCTGGGATATCTTTAATCCGTGCGTGCATGTTGCAGGACATTTTAAATTTAATTACCGACATTTTTTTTTTTGAAATGAGGGATGTATCCCAGGAAACAGTTTTGGGGTGGTATACAGTACTACATTTTCTGCTGCTCTGTACAGCTGAAAATTTTTAGAATGGGTTCTCTTTCCGACAAACCTTGATTCATTCAATCGCTACATTGTGGGATATTTTAAATTTAATTACCCATAACCTTTGGAAGGAGGGATGCGTTTTGGTCTACCAAGAAGAAAATTAAAGTCTTGCTCTTTTCTTCAACAGTAGACGGCTTTATTCTCCACACAGTAGTTCAAAACATTTTAAATTCAGTTGAATAATTTTAAAGGCAGAATCTGAGAAGTTTTGAAGCTTTTTTCTGCCTCAACACTGTAAAAAGTACTGCACAGAAACTGTGGTGCTACCCTAATATTTTGGGGGATGAATTCCCAATTTTCGTCACGCATATTTTTCTTGATGCGATGAAACGCAATGTCCCTATCTCTCTCTATACTGTATATATATATAATGAAAAAAATTGAACCCTTTGTAGTTAGTCACAGAAAAGTTGACGATGAATGAAAAACCTGTTCTTTTTAGCAAGTTATGCCAGAATTGAATTCCAAGTGTAGAAGAGATTCGGATGGAATGTAGGCAATAACAGCAATTTTAAGATATCGGCATTCAGAAATTCACACATTCCTGCAGCTTTCTCTTCTATAAAAGAATTCTTCTCGTGCAGAAAATTCAGAAGTGATGCCGCGCAAAAAAATATTTAAGTTTCCCGTTTTTAGTTGCGAAAATCCCGTTTTGCGAATTCTTAGTGATTTTTTTAATCGTTAAATTTCAAAGTGCGATTTTGTTGTTGTACGGGTCTTCTTTGATGCGAGGACACACTTGTATTCAATGAATACGAAGTATTTTTGATATTTCAATGATAATTCGATTAAATCAATAATTCGTGGTAGGAAAAAGTCATGCATTGATCCCAGAAAGATAAAAAGCTTCTTTCTCGCTAAAATTTGAGCCCAGTGACGGAAAGTTTAGTACTAACCCTGATGCATGGAGGTACTTTTCTCCGGCACGGTCTACTGTACTTATTATGACGCGGTCTGTCAGTAAAGTAAGAATGTGGTACTTGTTCATGTAACACACAGACACACACACACACGCTCGCAGATGAGTTGAATATTTTGAGAGCAGTGTCGTCTTCTTTTTTCTCTTTTTCGGCGTTGAAAGATGGGTGCGGTTTAAAAGATTCAGAGTACTCGTCGTCGGCTCGGCAGAATTTGTTTCCCTTGAGAAAAATTCTGCTCGGAGAATAACGAGTTTTTCTATCTCTAAAATATTTCCCAACCCCGGAGAGTTCGCCAAAAAGATAAGAATTACAATTGAAAGGAGAATGTCCTATTTTTTTCTTTTCAGATGTACAAAAATAACTTACACTCGAATTTAATTGCGAGTGTAATAAAAAATCCGCGAGGCAAATGCCGAATTGAAAATTTCAAGCATTTTATTGTTAATAACTGAAATAATTCTGAGTCTGAATCTTGAAAACTGTTCCGATTAAAAGTGCTCCGTCATGTTATACACAAAAAGGCAGCTACAAACAGACTTAATTTTGATAAACGAAACAGTCAATGTCGGAAAATCGAGCTAAAATTCTTTCGAGTGTCTCAAATCACATAGAAAGCAAGAACAAATTTTGTACTGTAATTGTCTGAATACAGTTATTTCAGGGGTGACAGATTAATAATCCATCCGAGTTTCAGCCTACTTTGCCAGCATTATTCAGCCTAAATTCTTACTCAAATTTTCTTATCCACTATTAGCTAAATATTTTTTAGGTGGAAACAGATTAATTTTCCCGCAAGAAAATAGTTCTGCAAAAAAAATTTCTCTCTATCACTTCTCAAGTATCTCATCAAATCAAGTATGAAGAGACCAATAATTATAGAGGTCTGAATCAAAGCTCATTCTTGCTATAGGATACAAATTGAAAAACATGAGACCCCAAGATGAAGACATAATTGGTGCATCAAGAGTGTCCCTAAGTCAAAATGTCCCTAAGTTGAGTCTCATTTTCCCTGAGACTTACATTATATAATTTTTTATTGGTGTTTTATGTACAAAA